CACGCCGATCCCCAAAAAGCTACAACCTGAAACTATACCAATACATATGCTTTGGCAGAAAACGACAAGTGACATAACGATGGTCTTATAAACTTTTAAAAGAAAATCAATTTTAGCATTTACGCCAAAGCAAATTTCGTAACTGTAACATTCTTTCATACAATGACGGTTAAACTTTTCATGCAAATGTCGAATTGCCCACAAAATTCTGAATAAAAGTTTTTTGTTCCGATGATAAATAATTCCTCAGTCATGCTTTATTCTTTATTTTACATACAATAGAGACGAATAATTTAAATACCTACAATGGTCGTGCATAGAGTTTAACGTTAAAAAGAGCTTTCTACAGGCCAACTATTAAAATACAAACAACAGATGATTCAATAGGTAGGCATGATAAGGTATCTAAATAAAAATAATCTTTTTATCTAATAAATTACTAATATAGTAATAGATAACAAGACCTTAAGACAAAAATTTGTAGACTAATTTTTATAGCGAGAGTGAAATTGGAAATTTTTTTTGTGACGTGTAGTTTGCTATTAGCCCAGCGGCTTTGACAGCTTCGGCGGAAAAGATTGCAGAGATTATTATAATACATACAAACAAACTAACAAAAGTTTACCTTTTGGCCTTTTCCGTTTGGCCATAGCTTGTTTATATAAACAAGCGATGATAGAGACTGCATACTTCATTTACATTCGCTTATTTATAAACTGAGCATGAACTACAAATCAACTACCACAATATTAAAGCATATAGCAGTTAAGCGCGTTCACTGGCCATTTTGTCGTGCGATAAATGGAAAAATCCATGCGACGGGAGCGACAGAACGGCGGGGGGTGCACTGTAACTTTTCATCGTTATTGCCCGCGCAAGCCGTGAAGGCTGATGAAGCCTAAATACTACTCTATCGCGACGTCACTAGACGCCCGGTTTCTAAATCGGCAAAGCAGACTCGTCGTCACTTTGATAGGGCCACGCAGCCCGGGTGAGTACCACGACGTCACAGGAGACCGGCGTAATTTGAAATACTTTCGCGTGTCGTCTGGTGAGTGAGGTACTTTTCAAAAGGTTGTCATCGCATCTGTAACCCTCGGGTGTAGCAGATGTCCATGGGCGGCGGTATTCACTTAACATCAGGTGAACCGTTTGCACGCTTAACAGCTCTTCACATAGAAAAAAAAGACTTGTGAGCAAAAGGATTCTGGTCGAAAATGGACGGAGCGATTTCGGACCCAAGCTAAAGTTGGGTTCTTCGTACTGATTCCTCGAAATCTGGCTATGAGTCAGTCCTAGCCAGGGACAATGAATGCTCGCCCGAACCGCTTCCTGTCATTCAGCGCGACCTCTTGTCCTACGCTGTAGCGCCCGTGGAGCCAACGACGCGCGTCACCGTGATCGTTTGATGAATTATATTTCCTTGAATTGTGACGTTTTTTGTGTGAGTACAAACTGTATTGTCGTCAAACGGCATATTGTCGGTATTTACAAAAAATATGTATGTGTTTGTGTATGTATGTACACGCATATGTAGAACATACAGGTATAGAAACATGAATGGACGTAAGAACTTATATTTCTTTAGCGTTACAAAAGAAAATTAACTAAAATTTTTATCCCGTGTGCCAGTCCTCTTTGTTTGTGAAAAGAAGACAAAAGGTAATAAAATAGTTAACTGTTTAATTAAATAACTTGGAGTTATAGATAAATGTCAAAAAGTTGTTATCGGTTGCAATTGTAACACCATAAAGTCAGTTTAGCACATCGTAATAATTTACTATCATCATTTTTCAGAACGCAACAAAAGGCGTTAAAAATTAAAAAAAAAAAAGAACAATATGTTTTTTTTTTTTCAAACGATAGAACACCCGTGTACTGTCGTGTAACTCTAATCGTTTCATTGTTTAATGTTATCTTGTCAGAGATTGTACGAACGTCTTTAACGATCGACGAGATTCTATTCTGACCGTTCTTGAACTGTTGTTCTTCAAGTCTCTACAGGTGGCACTACTCACAATTCAATTAAGTTTTTTTGTTTGATTCCGCTTCGTTGTCGGCATAACGTTCGTTGAAACGGGCGTTTTTGTCGGTTCCCAATTTAAATTTCAAAGACTTAAAAAGAAAAACAAACCGGTCACAAAAATCTCGCGCCAGATGCGAAGGATGTCGAGAAGGGAACACGAAAGGAACGCGCGAAAAGCAATTCAGAACTAACACGTCGCGGAAATAGGCGACGAAACGCGACGCGTCGGATTTTGCTCCGTCCGACGCTTTGCTAACCCTACTGCGTCGCATTTGCATATCAACGGATAGATTGTGTCCAGCGGTGGGTAATGTATGCGGTTTCCTGACAGCGCCCGTTTAGTATGCCACGTTATAACGATACGTCCTATTCTATTGAGGCGACTGTTATGTAATGCTAAATATGACATTGGGCGCCGTGACCACGGGGTTGTCACATGTCGGAGACTTTGCCAAGGGAAGTCGTGTAATTGGTTTGGTGATTTTATGTTCGCTTGCTATTCTTCTATAGCCGAGCACGCTATTGAGTTTCATATCGGCTTACTAATGGCTGGATGGCCCTCGAAACTGGTCTTAATGCAGCAAAGTATTTTCGTATTTTGCTCATGTACCGATAATCGATGATGTGTTTAAGAAATGTTGTTCTCTGCATACAGGGCATAATACTCTACACGGTCGGTTTAAGTTGGTGAATTATTAATGTCCTTGTTATAAATATTTCTTACTTATATATATTAGGTTATTCTAAATACTCACATACACAAAACATATCTAAGTTTTTTTGAATATTGCCTTCTTCACCGCTTAGCACATCAGACCATAGATCAGAACTCAGATCAGAACAGAAACTGCAATAACCTATCATGAAATGTTATTTGAAATCAAGTAACTCAAGTTATAGGTTACTATACGTGTTAACCTATCCAATCCATTTAGCTGGCGCAGTTTATGTCGTGACTATAACCTAGTATTTAACCGAGTACTGTTAAGGAATGTCTAAATCTAAACGGATATGTCCTATCTACACAAATCATCACCGTATTTACAGATAAAAAAAGATCAAGTGGGCATTCCTTTAAACTTATCATCAGTGGTCGTGAATATGGTTTACCCAATTAGTCACACAATGGCTTATCAATTACAGAAAAAGAAGATGATCTCTATTGATTTATCTCCCTGAGTGCAAAGGTTTTGGGATTGCCGCACATGACACATTAAATTTTTAATGATTCCTTTTTCCGTGTTTATTTCTGTAGCGTTCATCGGATTACTTGGAAGCCTTTGTGAGAGTATACAGGAACCGTGAAGGCTGCGCATAAATATATTGTGTTATCTAAGCAATAAGACAGCAAAAAGTATCCGTACCTCCACAACATGAAACAGTTTTAAGGGCATTTCGTCCTCTTTATTTCTAACGGTGACATTTAAGAGGCGGTTATTTTTACAGTGACATTAACTGATACGCCCTTTTGTAATGCGACAAACCCCCACTTGGGGATTTTTAGGGAGAAGCGAGTCAAGTGCTCTTATGCGGTGACCCACGCAATAAGTATGTCGTAAATAATTTCCAGTGTCTGTCTCGACTGCGAAATTCGGTTCCACTTATAACGATAAATCCCTTTCTGTTTCATAAAAGTATTAAAATTTCAAAAGTGAAGTCACTTTGACTTGGGCTGAACAGAAAATTCAAATAATGGACATTTGATGCTTCTTTTGATGCAGTGTAAAGTGATTCATTCACTCAATTAATTTTCAAATGCTGTATGCAAATGCTTTATAAAATAAGTAGGGTTTTAGGAGAAAATGCCCTACATTTTTGTATTGAAATAAATCCTGAAGCAATTCCTTTAGTTCATTTTAATTATGTAGATGGGTACGATTATTTCAGATCAGGGGACTGTCTTCTTCATCTCAATTCTCACGCATTAACAAACAATACTTCGTTATGGCTGTCATGCCTGGTTTGACATTGCAACAATCTATCTTAGTTCGAGCGAACCCCTGGACATAATGCGAACGAAGCCGTAGGCGTAAACATGTTTATATATAAATATCTAAGGAGGACGCACCTTCACTTTTATAGCGGTATTTCCGATAGCTCAATAGATTTCCGATACCTACTTGTTTTAGTAATAAAGTTTATACGGTGTCGGAATTTAGACGGAAACAATTTGTACGAAACGAACGCGTTTCACTTTCTTTTTTCGAATCGTAAATCTTTGAACGACCGCGATGGATCTTAAAAGAAGCAATTATATATTAAAAGTTATTTATGTGTAGCTTTAGTCGCTTTCATAAGATGTTAGAAGGAAGAAACCATCAAACTAATAGAGAATTTACGTATAAATTTATCATAGGATATATGTGTTTGCATGAGTTTGAATTTCCATCTCAGTCGGGTTGTTTAATGTTTTTTTAACAAATTGATCAAATTCCTATAAAAACAGAGAATAAAAATACGTAAAATATATGCAAACCCAATATTAGATATACACTAAGAAACGCCTTAATCGCCTTAGGAGGAAACCTTATCTGCGATAAAACTTTTTTAGGAGGCAAATAATGCGATTAGAATTGTGATGCATTACGTATTCCCGCTGTCACTTGATTCATCCGCGTTATCGCCAACTCTTTATCGAGAATTCGCCGTAAGCGTTACGCGCAATCGATTGCTAGGAGGGGACATTACTATGCATTCTCCGTTCATCCATTGTTTAGTGAATGAATTGCCATCGGATGTGGCGGACGTCGCGTTCGTAAGGTGCGTCCACTTCGATCCCACGTGGTGCAAATACACGATTCGTATCACGTCGCGACCGTCCAATCATTCGGTCCCCCAACTGGTCATTCTACTTAAGGTCTGTTCTAAATTAGCCCCCTCACGAACGTCGATATAGTCGGAAGTATATTTATCAAGTGTGTGCGCGTGTTATCATCAAGATTCGACGAAATACCTCTGGTGTTGTGTCCGTAAAATGGTGATGGAGTCGGCGCACCACAACGGGCGATTCTGGCCCCTCTCGCCGCGCCTCTGGCGTCGCAGCAGCGAGTACTCGAAGGTGGTCTTCGAGCCGCGCCGCCCGCCCACCTCGCCGATAGAACTCAGGCGGAATGGGCTGGACCAGACCCCGGATCTGCTGCGATCCAGGAGTTTCTTCAAGGAGAGACTGGATCACACGAACCTCGAGGAGGTGCAACACGAGAACGACGAGAACGAACCGAGGCACCGGTGGAGTGTCGACTCGAAGAAGCCCCCGATAAAGGAAACGAAAAAAATCGAAGAAGTGGTCAAGCTCAGGGTCAAGAAGCAGAGGCATCCGCGGCCGAACAGCTTGCAGCTGCTTCTGTGCCCGTCCAGCTCCGGTCATTACAGCAGCAACACCTGGAGATACACCAGAGTTCGATCCAAAAGGTATGTAAGGATTACTTTGCTGACTGAACTTATAATGATACAACTTATTACTAACAGAATTATCGTAAGCCGTAGATTCCTTCGCGTGTTTGTTATGGAAACAATGTGCCCTTGTGAGGTTGTTGTGCCCTGTGTGTTTATGTATCAAATAAGGGGTTCTCCACTTCAAATTGTATACTAAAGAAAATACCCAAACACAAAACGTTAATTGTTTATACAATAACATAAGTAAGGACTTTCAAGGAAGAGAGCCCTAATTAAAAGACGGCAACGCAGTTCTGATTCCACCGTTTTTGCAAGTGTCCATGGGTGGTTGTGACCACTTACGTTTGCCTCCTTTTTCATTAAAACACACGAATGGAAGCCGCTCACCTGTATACAGTTTAAGACGCAGATACTTTTATCAATCGATCATTTCGCGACGCAAAATCGTTTCTCGCGCGGCTGCTAAAGGGAAAGTCGATGGATTGATTAAGGTTATCGATTCAGGCCTATCGCGGAGCAGCTGGTCCGAGTAATTAAGTCGGTTCCACTTTCCTCCGGTGCCGGGAGTGTTTCTTGCATGTTTCACAAGCGGACTTAGTGTGGGCCGAGTGTGGGCGGTCCTGACGAGACCCCAGCACCGCATTGCATCTCGCATTGGACCGATGGCCCTCGAAATAGTTTCGTAACGCGCCGAACGCACAACACACGCTGACAATTATTAATATTGTCGTCGGATATCGATAATAGGTTCAGCTTTAAGGTCTTTATCGTTTGTAACGTGTATTGCCTTATAGATGTTTCGATTCGTGCATATTGAACAACAATATAAGGTTGATAAAACTTTTGTATGTGCGTAAAGTCTTTTATTTTCTACATCCTCACTGGTATGATGTTTGTATAAAAAATATTATCGTGAAAATATAAAATACTGCACTTTGTGATTGATATATTATACATATAGGGTTCCGGCAAACATCTTGAGCAGAAAGCGGCATAATGGGGCCATAAATACATTACTACGCAATCGAATACATTTTTCAATGTTTGTTTATAAGTATCTACCATTTTATTTATATCACAAGGGAAAACCTTTAAAATATATCTTCAATGTGAATGGCAAGCTTATGTGGGTTCTTATCCGGTAAAATGTCCTCGGTGCCAACTCTCAATACGTTGCAAAGAAATGTTTTCTTCATTTCCCCCACTGGTTTACGGCAACATGAGATCCTTCGTGTTGCCATCCTTACCGCGTGTACGGAAGTTGTAAACCAGCATCATTATCCCGGTCACCTTTTTGGTTCCTGTGGCACGGTACACCTAATCCCTATGAGTTCTATGAGCCCGGGAGTAACGGGCTGACAGTAATCTATCCGAATAAACTTCACATCAATACTAAACAATCAGATACTGATTGAGTTTGAAGTTTATTCGCATAGAACGGCAAACAATTTGATTAATACAATAGACCGGCCGTACAAAAGTGAATCTAGCTTTTCGCTTAAATATGTCCCATGTATTTATCATCGACTGTTTTATTATGCTGCACTATATCGTTTATTACCTTATCATCATTTCAGCATGTTAGAGTCCACTCCCCCACAGACTGCCACGAAGCACTTAACTAATATTGATCTCGAATTATGTTTAAAAATTTCGACTGAGTATTAATTACACAAATTAACACACACACGGCTCAACATCACATATTATATAAATATTGCAAGTTTGTTCTCGCTTTAACGGGCTGTTATGTGTTTTCACCTTTCACCGACTTCAAAGTGTTATTATTATTACGATATTTACCATTATTACGATACGAATTGCGAATTCATTGGCAATTACGACCGTGCAGTGCGTGGGCGTATTGCAGCTTAACTTAGTGTTTGTCAGCGCGCCTAGTGCCTCTGAGTGGGACCTTGGCAGTGTCGAATACGTTATTGGATTTCGCAACGTGATCCGTGAGATGGCGACGATGCGATATTATGAAAGTCTCGCGAAAGCTCTTTTTGGACATAAGCGACAAATTATTGTAAAGCGACAGGCTTTCAAAGATTGCGTTCTTTTTAACGACGCGTTCACCCAATTATTTAATCGAGTGTACCTACGGACAGTAAAAATTAGAACTCGATCCGCACAAACGTATCAAAATAAGTGCGGTAAACATACAAGTTTCTCGAAACCGTTTGTTGTGTCCACTAGATATTATTTTAGTACAGATAAGACTAGACGATGCATGATGTGTAGTGTGTTTACCTGCTTTTGACTAGCTGACGAAACGGGTCACCCGGGGTCGAATGCAAAATGTATACAGATAAATAAAATTGGAGTTTCTATTTGTAATATTAAAATAACCGGTTTTTACTAAAGGCATATGGATGTATACCAACACGGTGCATATACAAAAAATAACATTTTTTACAATTTTTGTCTGTCTGTCTGTCTGTTTGTTCTGTTCTCTAATCTCTGAAACGGCTGGACCGATTTTAACGGGACTAAGGCTACCTTTATTTTAGAAGTTTTATTTATTTTATAAATTCCACGCGGGCACACCTATATAAAACCTATTCACGCGGGCACACCTATAAATAAAAATAATACAAACAATTAATATATCCAGTATATCTAAAGTGCCGTCGGATATTAATATATCTGATAGCTTAATGCTCTCACCTTGACAACAGACGTATTGTTACACGTAATTGGTGCCTCCGAATTTCAGTTTTTTTGCCTCAGCGACTTTCGTGTTTATGAAATTTCCCGCCAAAAATGACACTACTCTCGAGTGAGAGTTAGATACAAAACTACATACACCTAAAAACCTCATATAAACCTTATTTTCGATGGACAACTTGTTCAGTATTAGAAACTAAAACAAAGTGCTTTTAACAGTTAAAATAAATAATCTAGTCCCAAACTAAACACAGATCATATTATAGGTAATAATAAGAATACTTATAATAGATAACTGATAAAAATACTTACAAAAATTTTTTTTATGTAATATATTTTCTTAATATATAAAATTCTCGTGTCACGGGGTTCGAACTTGAACTCCTCCGAAAAGGCTCGACCGATTTTTACCAAATTTTATATGCGTATTCAGTAGGTCTGAGAATCGGCTACTATCTATTTTTCGTCCCCCTAAATGTTAAGGGGGTAGTCCACCCCTATATTTTTTTTTTGTTTTTTATATAAAACTTTTTGTTTCTATTTTTTTATAACACAGCATACAAAAATACATACAACCCTAAATTTTCACCCCTCTACGCAAACGTAGTCGCGGGCAGCAGCTAGTTATTATATATATTTGTTGTAATGACTCACTAAATAATGAGCATGTTGAATGCTCACTATTTAACACTAACTAAAACATTTTACTCGGCGAGTTAAACCATTTTACACGTTAAACACCTTCGTAAAAATTCTTCAGTGCTTAATAGCGATTTGCAAATAATTCAGCTGCTGACAAATTACGATATATGATGTGAATTTGAAGCTTGCGTTTTGCATCTTATCGAAAGAGCGCTCAACCAAGAATAACCTTACCCGACTAACAATACTGAATTATCAAATGTGAGAAAAACAAATAAATTTTACGGACAAATGCATCGAAAGATTTGAAACACACAAAAAAGTAAGGGGAAAAAGTTCCTCATCAAGTGTAAGGAAAAAATGTAAGAATTACCCGACACGGCCGAAATCCCAGCGTAAGAGAAAATATAATACGTTTATGGATAATAATAATTTACTAAGAAAGAAAATTCGTTCCTACCCAGTCTTTCACGATACTCAAGCATTTATTTTTTTATTAATAATAAAAGAGCTAGCGTGTGTATGAATATGTTTGTTTGTTGCCTCCTCACGCCGCCACGGCTGAAAGGATTTGAATCAAAAGATTTACAGCTTGTAAGCTCGATTAACAATGAAAGTCGCATGTGTTCCATAAAAGTCAATTATTTTATTTACCAAAAATTATATTAATCGCGGGGATGGTAAGAATTATTTTAATTACTGGCTGCTGCCCGCGACTAGCGCAAAATATGTTGAAGGCTTAACATTCATACAGTAAGACAGATATACATAAAATATGTATATAAATTATAGCCTATGTCTTATTCTGATGTACAAGCTATGTTATTGTAAAGTTTCATTAAAATCCATTCAGTAGTATTTGCGTGAAAGAGTAACAAACATCCATACATACATACAAACTTTACCATCGCGCGCGAATTCGCAAGTATTGCAAACTAATAAGTGTCACACGAGTTCATCATCGGTGACCTGTTACATTAGTTATCTGTACAACAAAATGTAGTTAGGAACAATTGACACAAATAACGATAACCGATACGATAAACTCGGTTAGTCCTGCGTCCCTGATCTCATTTGACAGCCGCTCTGTTTTTTGTTCGTAGCTGCCATTTAAGCCAGGATTTTCTCTTTCCAAATTTCGTGATAAAAAATACCGTTACTGATTGTGGAAAAACGATTACATAGCTCAACGGTTTGGCTTAGATTGCCTATTGCCAGTTACCATTGCGTGCCGTGTAGTTGGTTCAGCCATTATCACGGGTAAAATGATTGTTTGATTTTTGAAGATTTTTTCTTAGTTCGGACGTTGTTTATAATACTTTTAAAGTGCTGCCCGTATACATTTTAGTTGTATGGTTGATCAACTTATATATTTTTTAGCTTGTTATTCGTTTTAAACATATTAATTAATACAAATATATTAAGAATACTTCTTTCGGAACTAGCAGGGATTTTGTCCTCATTGCCTGTCAAACTGTAGCACAACTAACATTTAGCACTAAAGAAATTATAAGCTTGGATGGCAGAATAATTCCCAATTTTTTAATCATCATTTAATAAATCAAATTAATCCTTTAAATGAGATGAATATATAAATTAAAAATTGTTATTGATCACAAACATTTGCTTTTAAATATCACTATTTTGACTATTAATGAATCAAGTTATAAACCAACAAACCCCGCTTGGCGTACTATCGCATT